CGAGCCTCCTGGGCTTCCTCCGAAAAATTCCCTACTGGCAAAGGCATCTCAAAGGCAATAGCAAATGTCATGAAAATTTAGTAACTTTTTAAATTCTTGGACGCCATTTTGGACACTGAAGAATGACTCATGTGTCCAGTAAGGAAGGTCGTAATAGTCGGTAACGATAACTTCCGATAACAGCCTTCGGAGTTGCCATGAATGCGAACCGCTAAATAGCAAATTTCAAAACAATTCAATAATTTATTTAAATATCGGACGCCATATTGGATTTTGAAGTTTCTAAAACTAGCTTGAAATTTGTAATAACCGAACTTAAGAACCTCAAAATACCAAATTTCATGAAAATTCAGTAATTTTTTGTTTTAATTCTTGGACGTCATATTGGATTCGTTATCTTCGGTTTTTGAAAATTGACTTCAGGTTTGTCAAGACACATCTTATAAATAATTTGATGCTAAATATAGAAAAATTACATCTGTCCTTAGTGTTTTATATACTTTATGTTATTTTGAACAACTGCTAAAGTTGGTCTAGTGTGACAAAAGTGGCCGCCACTCTTTGCGTTACTTTTTGGTAAAGGAATGAAGATCCTACTCGGGCCTACTAATTAGTTATAACTTTTTGAAAAAGATATTTCTTGAAAAATAATCCGTGTACTCATATTTTGGCATACTCATAATTTGGCAACAAAATTTCATTATGTAATATTTCATATGAAATAAAAATTTCCTATCTTTAAGAAGCAATTACTGTTATAATTTAAGTTTCCATAAAATATTTTTAAGAAAGCTATCAACTCATAACTGTTAGAACAAGCGACGATCGAATTCGTTGAATTAAATGGATTCAACGGCTTGCTCAGCACATATTATTAAAAATACTAACCAGTTTTGAGTTCGCTGGACATTCATGCATAAGAATGGCTTTACTCCAGTTAATTGATCAGAGTTTAAAAATAGTCCTTTTTCGCGTAAAACATGCCTTATCCGACCACTTGTGCTTAAGGCAATAGTGTTCCAGAGAATTTAGCCCAAGCACAAGAAAGTTTGAATCGTTAAAGGCTTTGTTTTATTTTTGGCGCGTTTCGAAATGCAAGTTATTATTAAGGTTTTGATATTTCCTAAGTCCACAATAAAAAATGTTAACTATATTTGGATTTATAATTATAATTCATAATGATTTATACGCCTTAAGCTTACTTAAATAACATGGTGCTACAAAAAAAAAATCACAAAATACACCCTAAACAAAACTTCAAGTACAACATGAAAATAGATTTCTTATAGTTCCTGACCCTCCATTTTTTTATTAAAAAAAAAAAAGTTATTTTCATACTTGAACTTATCTATTAACAGCTTTACTATTTTTCATCCAATTTTAAAAATCAAGCATGTTTGGACTTCAAAAATGATGTATAAGAATATATTATTAGATTTAGTAGTTTTCATTGAGTCAAATTTAAAAACCCCTATTTTTCATAATTTTTCGTCAATCGATGGTCAATCGCTAATTTTAAAAATTTCTATGAAAGTTGCCAAATACGTAGTATTCATCTAAAATTAGATTTATTTTCGAATAGATTGATACCTCATTTATTGCAATCGCATAAAAATTGTCGGAAGTTAAGCAATTTAAGTAGAAATACGGTCTTGAATTTATATGTGTATTATACACACTGTGTATGTACCGGACTTTCAGATTTTTTGAGCAGTGTGACTAAGAAATTTATCAATATTTACTCAAAATTTATATATACTATGGCTCATTAGCAAAAAATTGGTTTTTTCACAAAAATTTAGGACAATGGGGTGATAAATACATATGTGTAACTCAAAAACTACTTCACCGATCTCGACCAAATTTGGTATACATATCGCACGTTTAATAATATAACGAAGTATTTCAAGATTTCAATTTTGTAGGAAAACGCAATCAAAGTTTTATCAATTCATACAGTTGGTCAATCCGGTGCTTAAGGAGCCAAAACAAAATGTAGTAGTCACCTTAAATTAAACGCTGCACTTGACTGCGAGGGTGATAGACTCCTTTGTTGAAAATTTTAAAGAAACACTTACTTCAGTCGCTGGCCTGGCAACACCAAGTCAAGTCCAGGTACATCAGTTACAAATACCGAAATAGAAAAACTTGCGGCCGAAAAGCGGCGCCTAAGAAGACAGTGGCAGAGCCATCGCTGACCAACCTCACAGCTTCTGTATAAAGCTGCAGGAGGTAGCTGAAACAAGCACTTAAACGTGCAGAGGATCGCAACTTGCAAAGGTACATCAAGAAGCTTTCCCCGAATTCTACTGCAAGATACTCTCTATGGAAATCGCTAAAATACTTGAAACCTCCGGTGGCTACGGAAATGCCAACCAGGAACCAAAGTGGTACCTGGGCTCGTAGTGAGCAGGAGAGAGCCGAGTGTTTTTCACACCATTTAAAGAATGTGTTTCAGCCAAACTGCCCAACGAACAACGTCGGGCTGCCACGGCTAACCAAAAATACAAATGAGCTATACACACTTAGCAAGAAGAACTCTTTAGAAGTAAAAGCTATAGTAAAGCAGCTTAATCCAAAGAAATCGCTGGGTGCTGATTTTACAACTCCGAAAATGCTAATAGAGGTACCGAATATTGCACTAGCAATTCTTCAATCTTGACCTTTTCAACGCTATCCTCAAATTCGGTTACTTTCCGAAATCATGGAAAAGGTCGAAGATAGCCAAACCTGGAAAAGACGCAACACAGCCGTCCTCATACAGACCAATAAGCTTACTTCCCTGTACTCCTCTCGAAGATATCTCCCTTTCTCCATGCAATTAATACCAGCACACCAATTTGGCTTCCGAGAAAAACATGGTACAATTGAACAATTTAGTCGAATTACAAATGAAATCAGAAGGGCATTTGAACTTAGAGAGTAATGCTCTGCAATTTTTCTCGAAGTGGCACAAGCATTCGACAAAGTGTGGCACGACGGTCTTATATATAAAATTAAAAAATTGTTACCGCCGAAATTCCACAAAATATTTGAATCACACATAACTAACAGAAAATTCGCTGTCAAATTATCTAATTCCACTTCAGAAGACATGGTCGATAACGGCTGGCGTTCCACAAGGTAGTGTACTCGGGCCTATGCTGTATATCATCTACACTTCAGATATTCCAACTAGCAAGGATATACTAACATCCACCTTCGCTGATGATACCGCCTTAGTAAGTCGTAATAAATATCCCAATAGAGCTTCAAGAGTACTAGAGGAACATTTACTACGCATAGAAGAATGGCTGGCAAACTGGCGCATAAAAGTCAACGAACAGAAGTGTAAACATACAACATCAAATTAAATAATGTCCATATTCCACAAGCCAACGACGTGACATATCTAGGAATACACTTGGATAGAAGACTAACTTGGCGCAAACCCATATCAACCAAGATTACACAAATGAAGCTAAAGTCAGCTAGCGTGAACTGGCTTATAAACAGTAAATCAAAACTGAAACTAGATCATAAAGTACTTATATATCTTCTCTTTCTTCTTTATTGGCGCTTTAACCGCCTAAGCGATTTTGGCCGAGTCCTAAACAGCACGCCAGTCAATACTCTTCTGTGCTAACTGCCACCAATTGGAAATGCCAAGTGAAGCCAAGTCCTTCTCCAAGCCAAGCCAAGTCTTTCCAACGCAAAAGAGGCCTTTTGGCTCGAGCCACGAGTCCGAGTTAATCCGGTTCAACGTTGCCGTCTGTTTAAGAATATAGTCACACTGCTCAAAAAATCTTAACGTCTGATACATACACAAATATAAATTAAGACCGTATTTGTACCCTATAAACATTTTGGCGAACGTTCGAAAAGTACCTTCGATATCCAATGTGCATACCGAACTGAGATCGAACTCATAACCAACCTTGGTTTTCCAACGTTCAGAGTAAATTTGAAACACACTCGAAATGGGTTCGAAAAAAAATTAAAACCATAGTAACAAGAGAGAAAGTGAAATCCGGCTCATTCTCGAAGGAAAATATAAGACAATCGCTCCCTCACAATAAAATTTCAATTCGATAATGGGCTGGATTTCGAATTCATAATGAAGGGAAAATACATTGGATAACGAAGGTGCCGTTTTGGTGGAGAATGGCTTAGTTCTCGAATCGAATACTAACTTATTGCACATTCGTATTGTATCGTAGGTAAGACTCGAAAAAAAGATTGATTATCCAATCATTTTCGAATTGCTAACCAAGCCTAATGTTTATTGGGTACTTAAATTGCTTAACTTCGACAATTTGTACGCATTTGCATAAGGTGAAGTATCAATTTATTCGAAAATAAATATACGTTTAGATAAATACTACCTATTTGGCAACTTTCATAGACATTTTTGAAATTAGAGATGGTCAAAGTGGAAAAAATTAAGAAAAATATTTTTTTTTTTAATTTTACCCGACGAAAACAACAAGCTATATCTAATAATAAAACGGTTCTCAACATTTTAAAGTTCTATAAATCGCCTTATCAAAACATGTTTGATTTTTAAAATCGGATGAAAAATAGTCAAGCTTTTAATGATAAGTTCATCAAGTATGAAAATAACGGTATTTTTAAATAAAGTAAAAATGAAGGGTATAGGGTAGTGTGTATATTATTATTAAAAATGGAGGGTTCAGGAACTATAAGAAACCTATTTTCATGTTGTACTCGACCATACCTACAACCTACACTTAGTTTTGTCTGGGGGTGTATTTCGTGATTTTTATTTTTTATGTTTTTATGTTTATAAGCTTTGTTTGTTCAACAACTAATTTTACATTCATTGTTCGTTTTGAAAAATTCCGCAAATAAATAATTTTAAATTGCTTCTATTTAAAACATTATATTAACTGTTATTTGCTTATTTTAGAAAAAATAGCAATATATGTATGTAAATGTATATTTTTATATTTGAAGATTTCAAATTAACTTTTATATTTTGATTATAATTTAACATATAGAACTAGTATGATGGAAGGTTCCGGTTCATTGGAACAGCAACTGGAAGCTCTTCGTATCAAGGCTACAGAAGTAAGAGCCCGTCGTGTTGACTTAAAGAAAATTGAAGAATTGGGAGCATTACTAGAAGAACATTTGATATTGGACAATCGCTACACAGAACATTCAACTGTTGGGCTGGCCCAGCAATGGGATCAGCTTGACCAACTATCAATGCGTATGCAACACAACTTAGAGCAACAGATACAGGCGCGTAATCACTCTGGAGTGTCAGAGGACTCACTGAAGGAATTCTCAATGATGTTCAAGCACTTTGATAAAGACAAGAGTGGCAAATTGAATCACCAAGAATTTAAATCATGTCTGCGAGCACTCGGCTACGATCTGCCTATGGTGGAGGAAGGTCAGCCTGACCCAGAATTCGAGGCCATTCTCAATGTTGTGGATCCGAATCGTGATGGACATGTTTCATTGCAGGAATACATAGCATTTATGATTTCTAAGGAAACAGAGAATGTGCAATCCTACGAAGAAATCGAGAATGCTTTCCGCGCAATCACTGCCTCCGACCGCCCCTACGTAACAAAGGAAGAGCTTTACTGCGTAAGTACATACTATTCATTGAACAGAAATCGCAATGATGTATTAAACTTTGTTGTATGTAGAACCTAACCAAGGACATGGCGGACTATTGTGTGCAGCGTATGAAACCCTATGTGGAACCCCGTTCAGGCCAATCAATAAAGGACGCTCTCGACTATATCGAGTTTACAAGAACACTGTTTCAAAATTAAATGAAGAGTTATATTAAAAATTTAAATATTTCCCCTAACACCAAATCAAAATATTTCCCCAATCCTTGGATAGTATAGATGTAAGCATTATTCACTCCTTGTACTAAAGTTTCGCTTACAAAGGTAAAGACAAACGGCGAAATACAAGACATGAAGATTTTTGTATCCCCACATAACTACATAAATAACTATATCCGTATGTTAATCATATTTACGAATCACTTTCAAGTAGCAGTGAAAACATTTGCAGTGTTAATATCTCGTAAAACGACTCTATGATCTTTTATGCCACTTTAAAGCGAGAATATCAATACAATATACGTTATGTACGCATGCACAGATAGGAAACAAACCAGTTTTTTATTATCCTTCTATTCTTCTGCCGATATATGTAGTATAAGAAACTTTGTCAATCCCCATAAAATTAAAAAATTCATTTATATGGGCAATTCCAGCGAAAAGTCTACGGCGAAAAAAAAAATAAAATAAAAATCCTATATCTAACTTATTTATAGGTCGATTTGGCGACTTTTTATAATATATATTGGTTATGTAAGCAGAAACATTTTTGCCAAAAATGGTCTCATTAGGTGGCGCCAGGGTCGAAATATTTTGAAAAACCGTGTTTATGCAGAGCACATTTGGCATGTTTAGTTGAAACGTAGTAAGACATAGATTTGCAAAAAAGGGAACCGCTGATGGCGCTGATGTCAAAATAAAAAGTACGTTCGACATAAAATGCAATTTTTGCTTCCCATTAAAAATTCTTTTAAGAACTATATTAACACAACTTTTTTAATGGTAATTTTAGTAACGTTGCGTCAGCAGAAAAGATTTTTACATTTAAGAACTTTGAAAATTAACCTTAAACATTTAAAATGTTACCACAAAAACTTTTATACAAATAGTCTTGCCCAATTCGCAGAGTTCTGCAATTTTGTAATCAAAGACAAAATCCACTTCTGTTTTTTGTAACGTCACGCCAGCACGCATGTTTACAGTCGTAATTTTTGGCTGGTGATTTAAACCCACCCTGTGAAGGGAAATATGCATAAAAAATTGCCATCATTTAGTTTAAGATAATAATGGTAAAAAATATTTTAAAATCTCAAATATTTAAGATCTCTTTTCAGAGATAGTAGTCGAGAGATCTAGCTTTAATTCAAGCCGGGCGGGTTCTATCACCTTTTGTTTCTTTGCTAGAGCCTCTAAAATATTGCAAAAAGCGCAATTTTTTGACACTTTGACCTCGTTTTTTTTTTCAAAATCTGGAGCTGATGGAAACTTTATGCTAACGGATTCGTAATCAGCGCAAAATAGATCTATCAAAAACAGCTTTAACATTTGCCGTACCAAAATTTTTTTTTATTTTTGTTGGCCTGTGTTATCCATTAAAAATTGAGCAAAAATTCAGATTTCCGTTTTTTCTACAGAAATTTTTCCGTATGTCGTCTATAACACCCTCCGCTTCCCTATTTAGTTATAGTTTTGCAGAATAATTCAATGAATATCATCATGCATGTGCTGACCTACGAGTCTGCGTAATTTTTAAGTTGTACCCGTTTTTTAAATTTGTTTGTTTTTGCTTTTGGATTTGTTTTGCTTTGTTTGACATCTCTATTGCATTGCTTAATTTATAGTTTTTGGTGTTATACCTCCCTGTTGTACTAAAAAATATGTTTGTAAATCTTATTGTACTAATGCTGCAAATTGAAATTGAATATGCAGTAGATTGCGCCTTATTTGGCAACTTTGTCCTACAAAGCAAGACTCCCCCAGAAACGTTCATTTGGTCATAAAAACGTGACCTGCGAAAAAAATTTAAAATCGGATAGTGGATAAACATGCCTCAAAGGCCCTAAAGTTCAGCAAATTCATGAAATTTTTCACAGAGCGGTCAATAGTTTGCCTATAAGTCAGTGGGAAATTTGATATAATCAGCCTCATTGTGTAAGTCGTAAATTAGGCTAAATTGTACGACTCGACAACATTGGCATTGTTTACTGTCGTGCTGAAATAAGTAAATGACGAAAATCGTCGAAAACTATACAGTGCTGCCAAGTTTTTCCGTTTTAATACACTAGTCGAATGGAAATTTTAGGCAATGACGTGCAATTTGCGATACGATTCGACTCTCGAAAAACGACTTCCATACGACACCACTCTCGCGATGAGGGTGATTGTAACGGCACTTGATGGAGTTTTGTCCCCCGATGTCAAAAATAGCTACAGTATTTTTAAACCTCGCCATCTTTTAAAGTTATTGAGGTTTTTTTTGGGAAAAAGCTTTGAGGCCTTTTGAAAAATTCAACATGGCGTCCCAAATATGGATTCTAAACTAACCTAAATTAGATTTTACTTTACAAATTTTGTGTCACCGGAAAACCCAACACTGAATGAAAAAGTTCCCTACAACTATGTCATTTGAATATTTATGCTACGCATTTTTATCAGAAATTGTTTAAAAATGGCGAAAACCGACCCAAGCGGTGGTCGTCGAATTAGTAGCGTTCTTGTACGCGATAGTTTGTACCAGTGTGTACTAACTATCACGTTTTGGTGTTCTTGTACCCAAGAAACTTGTAAGAAAGGGGAAATTGAGAGCGCAAATTGACATTTCTTTCTGAGGAGAAGTTGGTAGTTTTTACTGGATAAATTTTTGCTAGTAAGAACTTGCAAGTGAGAAAAACAGCTGATCGCATGTTGCTGGGTGGAATTAAAACTAATAAAAGAAATGTTTATGAGGTTTTCATAGTTGAAATTGACAAAATAAACCTATTTAAATATAATATATATTGTTTTAAAAGGAACTAGCTGCGTATAAACAACAAATTAATCAGCTGTTCGTAAAACTTGCAAATTATTACTGGTTTTGCGTTCTTGTAATTTTGTGCAAGAGCGAATTCTCAGAAATTAAGTTACTGGAGAATTACTGGCAAGTTACTGGATAATTTGTAAAAGAACACAACTATTATCTATGTGGTCGACACTCATCAGTAATGTTTAGAGACAAAACGAGTAAACCTAGAAAAATAAATCACGGGGTTCCACAGGGTAGTATCCTTTCCCCATTACTCTTTAACTACTATACTTCCAAGCTTTCTCAAAAAGCAGATGGAGTCTCGATTGCCTCTTACGTTGATGATTGTTCGATAATGGTGTCTGGGAATGGAATTGATGACTTGTGCTTGAAAGTAAACGGGTATCTCTCTGAGCTTTCTCGCTTCTTCACTGCTAGGGGCATAACCCACCCCCCTACGAAATATGCTGCGACCTTGTTTACCACCTGGACCAAGGAGGTCAGACTACCGCTGGGAATAGGCGTCGCTGACACACAAATTCCGACGGTGAATTACTTCAAAATACTCGGAGTAACGTTCGACAGCCTGCTCTCCTTCTCTGCGCACACATCCGCAATTGTCAACAAAGTACAGAGCCTTAACAATCGCTTGCCGGCAGAACTTGGGGCAAAGACAAAGAAACGTTGCTGACAACATACACGGCGATAGGTCGGCCGGATCTAAATTACGCAGCACCAAGTAGAACGCAGTGGACGAAGCTACAGACGATACAGAACACAGCACTTCGGACAGCGACTGGATGTCTTCTGATGTGGCCAGAACATCACCTGCATGACGAGGCAAAAATGGTCCCCATAAAGGAGCACAACACAATGCTCTGCAAGCAATTCTTAGTAGGGAACCACAGACGTTGACACCCGAACAGACACTTCCTTGCACAGGAGCCCTCGCCAAGGCATATCAGAACTGACGGACGAAGTCCAGAGGTTCATAAAGCAACCTCCGGACCCGTCAGCATATAGACAGGGAGTCAGTCTCAAGTTACGTAGACTTAAGACCTGTGAATGCCGTTCTGGGCACACAACCACCCGACATAAACGAGACGCAGCTTCGTCTACCTCGGGAAACTCAGACCACATTAGGCCAACTTCGCTCTGCCTACAGCAGTAGGTTGAACTCATACCTGAGCAGATTAGATGCAGATGTGCCAAATGAGGGCCCGGCATGCGGAGAGACACCGCACGACTCGAAACATCTCTTCGTATGCCCGGAAAACCCCACAGAACTGACGCCTCTGTCCCTGTGGACAGACCTTATAAAGGCTGCACGCTTCTTGGGTCTTCCGTTAGTTGAGCTTGACGACAACGACTGAGATACTAGCCGATTTGGGCGGGGTTGTTGTAACCGCTACAACAACAACACCCCAATCGATAACGAGATTCGAATAGCGATAACTTTACTCAAAATTAATAAAGCTGCAAAACATGGACCGACGAAAATACGGATACGAATTCAATTTTAATATCAGAGTTCAGTTTGAAAATTTTCAATTCGGGGACTAAACAGAACACGTTTATTAAAATCCAAATTTGACTTTCAAGCTATTCTAGTTCTTGAAATATTGTGGGTTTAAGGTATGTATTTTCCCCCTTGTTTTGAATAAAGACAAATCTCAACGATATACGGAAATTTATTTGCATTAAAGGCAAAATCATGAATGCAATTTACATCAGAAACTTTCGTATGCTCTCAGTATATTCTGAATTTTTAAGTTTTTCTTCTAATGCTGACCTGGTTAACCACTCGTACTTTTTCGTCAATGCCTTATTCACATTTCCACCGTTTACTGAAGCTCGATAAAAGAAAACTTTGGCGCCAATACTTTTCTGGCGCATTACAACAGGATATTTATATTTGTAAAATCCACAGGGCGCATTACCGTAAAATTTCACATCTAACTCTAAACCACATTTCTCACGTAACACACGCTCTGCTGCCTGTCGCATTGTCTCACCATCTATACGTGGTCCTTGAGGCAGTATTTGCAGTGCTTCTTTGTTCAATACATCCTCTATAACTAGATATAACGTGTCCTCCAAACAACGATCAAGGGAAGTAGTTTTGTTGGAGGCGTCATCAGGTGTAGTACGGGGAGCCAATGCAAAATTTTTCAACTCTTCTGTGTAGGCATCTTTGAGATCCTGTGCTGTCATTTTGGACGCACTGTCATCCAGGTCCACCTCTATTTTACCTTTCTTTATTAATTCGCTTTGGACTTGGTCACGTTCATGTTTTAGTTCATGGTCCGATTTTAAGCTGTTTTCGAATTCGACACGCCACAAGTATTCTTGAAATTCTCGTTCCAAGGCGTTTAAACTTCGCGATACAATTGGTAAACGTTCCACCAG